ATACATAACCTGCGGAGCCCTGGTGTTGTGGGGGTTAGAGACACTTCTTCATAATTTTGACACATGTATATATTAGTGGATAAAGGCTGAAAATTTTACTATGCACCTATGATTATCGCTTGAAATGTGAAATAGATAGGTACCATTTTGGCTTGCAGTGTTATGTCTAGTGGAGGCACTGCCAGGTAGCGAGGAAGGCGATTCTGAAACCATGGGTGATCTCGAATTTCATGGATTGTGATATCTTCATGGGATCAACAAGAAGCATTCTTGAGATCAAATCCTTTGCAATATCAGATAAATGACTTGGAAGTATATAGTTACCTCCCTAGAATACCAAGCAAGGGGGCGTCAAATCTCCAAACAAAAAATGAATGCTAAAGTTCTACAAAAGGTATACACTTGTCAGATCCAACTTAATATACATATGTTCTGTCTCACCGTTATCTTTTTGAACAGGCTGGGAGTATATTCATCATCAAATGGAACAGAGCCACAAAGAAGAGCATAAAGTATCACCCCACAGCTCCAAACGTCAACCTCAGGTCCAGTGTATAGTTGACCTAAGAAAACCTGCACAGAAACACTCGCTAAGCTATTAACGCCGACGAGCATGTGAAGAAGCACGAGGATAAAGACACAAATTATACAAATAAGTGAATACCTCTGGTGCAACATAGTTTGTACTCCCGCAGCTTGCCTTCGAAAATGGCCATCATGCATGACATGACTTAACCCAAAGTCAACAAGTTTCACATTATATTTGGAATCAAGTAACAGGTTTTCTAGCTTTAGATCACGATGATCAACCATGTTTTCGTGGCAGTATTCAACACCAGATATAATCTGTTCAGGAAAAAGTTAGTAAAAAATATTGATACAAAACCTCGTTATGCATTCAGTCAATCAGAAAGAACCTTTCAAATTACATATTCGCTTTCAAAAGGAAAAACCATCTCTGTATGTTTTAAAGCACAATTATTATTAAGGACAGTATAACCGCACCTAAAGCGAGCCCTGTCAGCGCTTCACATTTCTAGCCATCTATTTTTGTGATCTTTGCATTCTGGCCGTCTGATCTGCTGTTCGCTCACGCCCGGGCCATGGAATTGCAGAATCGTGGGCTAGCTATCCTGCAGCGCAACTACTCCGGCCGAAACGGAGCTCGTAGGTTAATTGGGCCTTCTCTCTCTACCGCACAACCCATCCTGCAAATTCATGCTAAGCGATGATGCCTCTACGAAGAAACAAATCCATGACCTCTCTCTTCCCCGACCTCTGCACTCTCACGAGGCGGTGAATCCTAGCTGCTCCCATCACCGCCAGATCCTATTGCTCTTCCCCACCGCGTACGCTATTGAGTCCCCCCTCCCACCTCGTCGGGCTCGCGCGATGGTGCAGGTGCCAACCGTCTCATGCTCCACTAATTTGATTGCCACTGTCCCAGGCTCCCAGCATATTACCTGCACCACCACGACGTCGGTGCCTCCAGCTACCCGCGACGCCGCTGCCTCCTCCTAACGCTTCTTCGTGCTGGGCTAAGGGGAGATGAAGATGATAGGGCGAATGACCCAAGAATAGGAGGGCAAGTTTAACTGGTACAAGGCGGAGGCTTGGAACACCGAGGAACTGTTCTTGCGTCGGCTTGATGCCACTCCGCTACTGCACATTTTGGCATAGGTTCAGCTCCTCTCCCATAATTTTGTCCATCAGAAATGATTGTAGTATTGTAAATATTTATCACTTGCAGTTCTAATATGATAATCATGGTATTCAGTGCTGGCAGCTGCTTGAAGCAAATAATTGATTCGTACATTTGCTGGAGTAGTACGATGTGAAATGATAATGTTTGTTTCTATTAATTAGTATTTGAAGAATACATCTAAACTAACTGCTGTCAAGAATACCAGTTGGTGGCTGGGATGATGCTATTTGAGGAATGAGAGGCACGGATTGATGAATCCATTAGAATCCAATAACATTTCAGTGGCTCCTTTTTTTACGTTGCAGTTGTTAGGCGATGTAGTTTAAGAAAGAGGATAAATGTTGCAAAAAAGCTGATAAAAAGAAAATAATAAACTTCCGCTAATCTGTAGATTGTTAGGAGATGTTGGTCGATAGAGGTAAATGAACCGAGCCCTTATCAGAACATCATGGTCATTCATGCGGTGGAATCCCACCTTTCACGTTGCCAGAGGTGCATGTGGGCGTCGGCGACGCCCCCTCATTAATGCTCCCGCGGCGACGATGGGCGTTGGCCTCCTGGTCACCTCAACAAACGACGGGCACTGGTTCGATTGTCGCTTCAACAAGCAAAATGTTAGCTACTCAGATTGCTGCAGATTTTCCTTGCCGAACCAATGTATGTACTCCTGCTGATGATGTTTCCGCTCTTAATTTGCTGCAGGTACTTTCCCCCAGGTACAGGAAATCTGTTCTGGTGTATTTGTTCAATGAGTACTGCGAGGCTGGTTCCAAGTTTTTTACTGCGAAATTGTTCAGTCGAGGATCCCCAATGTCTGTTGATCAGGTTAGTTAAAGCGGAATGTTGTATCTTATCCAATAATCAAGTATTACCTTCATACGATTGCTTAGTTTCCATCGTTTTTGTGTCCACAATAACTCATGCCATGCTACTGATGGATATCATTGTTGTCGTATATGCATGCTGGATATCATTGTTGTTGTATATGCACCTGGTAGAATAGGACGGCAGATCCATTTTGCATATGCAAAATTTAAGCATTTTGTTGTAAATCTTCCCAAACACTCTTAATTTATTTCCAAATTATCAAATCATAGATCTATTGTTTATACATATCTGTGAAGAAGAAAGGATTATTAAAAATCTGCTGCTTCCAGTGTATGCCTTATTGTGGGCCCTTTTTAGCAAGTTGGATAGTTTCTACAAGTTCTGAATTCAATATGATGGTAATAAATTTCTATGTGCTTGAGTAATGACAATGTATTTTACCGGAGGTTCGATAAATCGAATTTACCATTCCATCACATGAGGACAAATACATCTCAAGGATACTCGTAGTTCTTGAAAATCAAGCGAGGTTTGAGAAAATCTCAATCCACCAAGAATTAGCAAAACCGTTACCTTAGTGTGGAAATTAGTATGATGATCATTGATTAGAGTATTGTGTGACCTATCATCAAGTAGTGTACGATGGCAAAGCATAGCTTTCCCATCTAGCTGCCCTAGCTGGGTTAATTCTTACAATTGTGTTTATCCGCTTTAACTTGTAATTCTTTCCTGCAAAATTATGTTTTAGGTCACTGCCATCCATCCACTCTACGAAAGCTAACTGTTGCTCTGTGATCTAGGCTTACTTTTGAGATGAGGTGTATGTTCATAGTCCAGTGGCAAGTATAAATCAAAGCGAGCTAGAGTTGGACACATACAATTGTAATAAACTAAATAGACCTATCAGCTTATTAATTTTCTTTTTGGTTATTACTTTACTACTAATTGGTGTACTTCTTGTTCGAAAAGGTAAAGGAAAACTTCTGTGAACAATTTATTTCATTCTATCTTATAAATCTGTATAGTTTATTTCCAGTTATGCTTGGTTTTTATTTCATGTATTTACACAGATTTTTTTATTATTCTCCCATAAAAAAGGATGGGCACAGCAACGCATGCCTTCTTTCTGCGAACGATCCCGAATATGGAATTTCCTCCAATCATCACATATACTAAATTAGAAGAGGTATACAAATCTTACATGATGGCACTCGATACAATGTTTCCTTCCATCCCAACGTTGAGGTTCCCGGGCTTCATTTCCATACTGATGTTATGTAAGTTTCCAGTTGGAGAAGCAGTATTTTCTATTTATTTTTATTCAAGGTAATGGAAGCAGTTATGCTATGTTTGCACTATTCCATTGGCATGTCTTTTCAACTACTGGGTGATACAGTCAACAGAGTTTGCCGATACATTCAGATTAGATGATTGATGTGCATACATTTCAATCTGATGGTGGCGAGTTCATACACATATGAGTAGCGTAATATATGTTGGCATCTTGACTTACATAGGTTGCTTTTGTAGTAATTTAGTATATGTATTCATTTTTTCAAGACAAATGCCATGGCCTGGTCAAAATAATCGCTTGGTATTGATATTGTATCGCTGTGTGCAAGTGGTGGTATGCTGTTGTGATCTTTTGGAAGATTGTTCTTCATAATGTGATAGTATCTACTGCTTTACTACTGCACTCCTTGGCTGCTACCAGTTAAAATGTACTCTTCTATTACTGTTTAATGCGTGGACTTTTTCTTACAAATTTTGCTACATATATTCGGTATATATTTACAAAATTTCTACCAATCCATTGTAGAATTTGATGGGCGCAGCAACGCGCGCCTTCAATGATCTAGTTTGATTTTAGAGCTGAGACTAAGACAATCAAGGCATGAAGAATAGGATGCCCTTGAAACAAGAATTGGTTTAATTACTAATACTAAGATAATCAAGGCATCAAAAGATGAAGACACCGGAGTGATACTAAAACATAGACACATCAAGGAGACGTTAACTGGTTGATCAGTTAAATCCAAATGAAGAAGCATCGGAGGGGTAGCCGCCGATCTACCTTGTGGATGGATCGATAAATGCTTAGATTTCTGCGATTATGTTTTACGCAGGAACCAGTTTTTCTGAACACTCCCGAAAAAATGTCATCGAGAAAAAAAAACCATATCTTAAACTTAGTAAATGAATGCCAAACGAAGCAAATTGATCATGATTTGCACAGTAAGCATGTGAGAAATGTGGAGACTGGACAATTGGCCAGCATGTCCATATATTTCACAATCAAAATAAGAAGCTCAGCGAAGTTCATTAATGAACACCTCTTGGTATTCCCAAAGAATGTGTTCCTACATTCCAAGGGCAGAAAAGGCACCTGCTGGAAGATTCGACGAGCCTCATCTTCCTGTAACCGCCCTTTCTCAACAATGTAGTCCAATAGCTCGCCATTCTTGCATTATTCCATGACAACAAATATATCCTTAGGTGTGCCAGTGACCTCATAAACCCGGATGATATGAGGGTGAATTAAGTCAATGAACAACCTCAATTTCTTGATTTCTCTATTTGCTGGGAACAAGATATGAGAAAACAGTAGGAGTAAATCGTTAGACATTCAGCCTGTGAAGAAATTTCAGCTGCAAATTTACTAACAGCGACAACACAAGGTGAACTTTCTTCTTAAGCAAAGCCGAATGTATCCTAGACTCATGTACTTTATCTCGACTAATTGATTAACTGGGAATCAGTAACAAGCGCACAAGTCTGACCAGCACTAAAATTAAGGAGATAACTGAAAATGTTGGGCAAGCAAGCCGAATGTATCCTAGACAAGGAGGCATACCTTTCTCTTCCATTTCCATAATTCCCATTTGGCGGCGGTTCAGGATCTTTATAGCAACTTTGTGTCCTGTAAGCTTATGCTTATGCTCTGCAAGCTTCAGTTTTCCAAATGAGCCAATACCTAATGTTCTGCCCAGATTGTAGTTCTTTAATGCTTCAGAATGTCCGCCTCCTCCTCTTGTGTTCCCATCCATTTTCACAATGTCAAAACAAGAGAAACGACATATGTGATTCAGCGAACAGTTTTATAGTTCAGTCAGGAATTGAAATCGGTTTCAAGTATGTCCATCTCCCTTCTCCACTCTCTCCACTCGGATGATTGCTGCTGACCTAATTAAAGCACGGACGTCGTAGAAAGATGATTTTGAAACACTTGAATCGATTCCCTATTGCTAGAGACAGGCCTTGAGTGTGAAATGAGCGGGCTGGCCATAAAAGAGCACTATGCGACATGAATGGTGAGGGCAAGAGTGGTTCAAAGGTCAACGAAATGGGTGAAGTTCCCTTGTCGAATTTGGGGAAAGTTTTCTTAAAAAGGTTCACAAATTAACACGTACTAGCATGAATAGGCATATATGTGTTGTAAACATGGAAGAGATCGAGATACAAGAAAGAGGAAATGCAGTCATCCAACAATTGAGCTTAGAAAACAATGGAGAAGAGTAAGTGAGCTAAAACATGAATCTGCTACTAGTACTAATCAATAACTGTGCACAACCGTATCAGAATCAGGATCCCTCGCTCTGTACTAGTTTCTTTCGACCATATATGGAGTAAATTTGAGAAAAGTGTCATCGATGGGCCGACCGATCAATCGATAATAAACCAACTAATTGACCGATCAGTCATTAATGAAGACTTTCAAGTCCGAGCATGATGAAGTGATTGGTGGTCTGGGTGGATCTCTCCGTTGCCGTTGGAGGGAAGAAACAAACAGGGCACTGAAATCGCCACAACAACAAGCAGAGCAGAGCAGCACACAAAGAAACTAATAAATTCCCCACTTGAGCCAACCAAAAGCCGAATGGACAAGCCGCACTCCCGGCCATAGAACTACAGTAATTAAGAACGCGCGCGAACCAGCCCAGCTCCCTACCCTACCAAGCCAAGCAAGCGACGACGACGCAGAATCACAAAACTCCGGCGAGAATTGCATCAAAGATGAGTAGGGCGATTGCCTTAATTACCTGGGGTCCTGGCCAAATCCCGTGGTCAGCCGTGGACAGAGGGAGGTGACGAGAGCGACGGCCCAATAGAGAGGAGGAAGCCTCGAATCGAGAGTGGTTTTGCGGTCGATCGATCGGCTGGGACTGAAGCAGCTTTAGGCTTTAGGCTATAGCTGCTAGCTTAGGTGGGGGCGGCGTAATCAGGGAAAGCTTAAGGGAAAGATGAGCGTCTGCATCACCATCGCGCTTGCCTAAGTGCGCACGTCTGACGTGCCAGCTCCCTCTCCCGCCGCTCGCAGACCTCTTGCCGTTTGGCTCTCATTGTGGCTGTCTTCCTCGTCCAGTCGTCCTATCCTCTGTCGTTTCTAATGCGTCGCGTGCGTCGATCGATTCCTCCGTCCGTAGTCGGTTGATTTGGACGGTACAGGAATGGGATGGCGGCAGAGACGGTTTTCGGTCGCCGGTGACGCGGCGCTGATGCGAATTATGCATGCCCTCGTTGACGGTGGGTGGGATTAACGTCGCTGTTACGTGCGCGACGAGGACGTCCGTTGGCTATATTGGGTGCATGCACACGCTGCAATGTTTTCTCCGATCGAATCTATCTATTATCTATTATCTATTATTTACTATTTACTTAAAACAAGAGTAAAACAAATCATCACGTTCATCCACACAGATTAAATTATCTTGACCGTAAAGTTGTAGGCATAGTCCAAAGGCTGCCACGGACGTGTGTGTATGAAGGGATAGTGCATGCGTACCTAGGAAGAACACGTAGGGTCACGTACTATATTAAATGAGGTGCAATTGCTATAACTTCGTGAAAAGAAAAAGTCGCGTACTTGGACACAAAGACATTGCCGGAGAGTTTTCTTTATGTCTGACCAGAGAGTTTTTCTTTAGTTCATAGCCAAAGTGCCAAACGGATTCTACATAACTTGGTTGTATACGTAATGAGAAAGAAAGTCCATATTTCCGGCTGCCACAAGGGAAAAAAGTGCATATTTCACCCTGCCAAAAAAAAACAAGGAAATACTTCTCATGGCAAACAACGCGTGTAAACTATTACTAGAAAAATAGAAAAAAGTTACGTACAACAATAATGGTGTACAAATAAATTATTACTAGACACATTCTGCAGAAAAAAAACTGTTAGACACGTGTAAATGTAGAACCAATTGATTGGATGCACGAGGAAGGAAGCTTTTTTTAAGCCCACACAAAAGGAACGCATGCATATAGCATAGTCTATCACGTATCTATGCAAGGAGGAAACAAAGATGTTTCCAAATCTTCCTCAACTGTTTCTATACCACACGAAGATAGCCGGACAGATCGATAGCGTCCCCTATATGTGACGTTCAATGAAAAATCAAACCCAGCCTTCAAGGATGACAGTGCTGAGCCGTCCCTGCCGCCGACAGCCCCACTCGAACGACGACTGAATCCTCGCCAAGAAGTCCCAGCGCCGCATCATGGACCGCGTGAGGATGACTATTGCCGCCGCCGCCTCGACTGCATCATATTGCTCGGGCACCTCGACCCCTTGCCGCAGTGTAAGACAATAAGTTTTGGGGAACCAGCACAACCCTCTAGGGGTGGCTTATCTCATTATATATAATGGTTGTGTTACAATATGTACCATATACGTACATAGGTACAGAAGCTATACATAGTCTAACACCCTCCCTCAATCTTAGCCACTTTCTAAAGAACTGAGAAGAGTAAGATTGCGCCTACAAGCCTCAAACTGTGGCAGCGGTAAAGGCTTAGTGAAGATGTCTGCAAGTTGATCCTTAGATGAGATAAACTTGATTTGGAGTTGCTTCTGTGATACACGTTCCCATACAAAGTGATAGTCAACTTCAATGTGTTTCATTCGGGCATGAAATACTGGATTTGCAGAAAGGTATGTAGCACCGATGTTATCACACCAAAGAATAGGAGACTGTGGTTGAGACAAACCCAACTCCTGAAGCAAAGACTGCACCCAAATAATCTCTGCAGTAGCATTAGCCACAGCCTTGTACTCAGCTTCAGTACTGCTACGTGACACAGTAGCCTGTTTCCGAGCACTCCAGGCGATCAAATTAGAGCCATAGAATACTGCATAACCCCCCGTGGATCGCCTGTCATCTGGGCTACCAGCCCAATCTGCATCAGAGAAGGCCGAAAGGACCCGAGAGGAAGTCGGCCGAATATGCATACCAAATGTCAGGGTGAACTGAACATAACGAAGAATGCGTTTAACAGCAGCCCAATGAGTATCTCTGGGAGCCTGAAGATACTGACAAACCCTGTTAACAGCATAAGAGATATCTGGTCTCGTGATCGTCAAGTACTGAAGTCCACCAACAATGCTCCTGTAGTCTGTGGCATCCGCAGGAGACAAAAGCTCACCATCAACAGCTGTTATCTTGTCGGTAGACGATATGGGTGTGGTGGTCGGTTTGCACTTCAGCATGCCAGCTCTCTGTAACAACTCCAAGGAGTACTTCTTCTGCGTAAGGACAAGACCAGTAGCACGAGAAGTGACCTCAACTCCAAGAAAGTAGTGAAGCTTCCCAAGATCTTTGACCGCAAAATCAGCACCAAGAGAGCAGACAAGAGCATCAGCAGCATACTGAGAAGAGCTGACAAGGATAATATCATCGACATATACCAAAAGATACATAGTGACTTCTGGCTTCTGTAGAAGAAATAACGAAGTGTCAGCAGTAGACGGCACAAACCCATGAGCACGAAGGGCAGAGGCAAGGCGGGCATGCTAGGCACGAGGAGCTTGCTTCAAACCATATAGTGCTTTGGAAAGACGACAGATATAGTCAGGACGATCAGTATCAGAGAAACCAGGCGGCTGTTTCATATAAACCTCTTCCTCCAAAATTCCATGTAGAAAAGCATTCTGCACATCAAGTTGACGAAGTGACCAACCACGAGAAACAGCAATGGAGAGAAGAAGTCGAATAGTGGTAGGCTTGACGACAGGACTGAAGGTGTCCTCATAGTCAAGACCATGACGCTGCCGAAAACCGCGAGCAACAAGTCGCGCTTTGTAACGCTCAATAGATCCATCCAAATGCTTCTTCACTTTGAATACCCATTTTGAGTCAATAACATTTACCCGTGGTGGTGGAGGAACGAGAGTCCATGTCTTGTTACGAAGAAGAGCATGAAACTCCTGCTCCATAGCCTCTCGCCAATGTGGAATGCGCAGGGCAGCCTGATATGAGCGAGGCTCAGAAGATGGATCCGCAACAGCAGCAGCCAAACAAGCAGCCAACCAAGCAACCGTACCATCCTTACGTTCCTTAGGTTTGAAAATGCCACTGCGACTGCGTGTATGTGGTCGGGACACAGGAACCACCGAGGTCGACGGAGCAGCCTGCAACGGGCTGGAGGACGGCGACGTTGATGAGTCAGCCGGTGACGAGGAGCCAGTCACGGTAGCCTCGGACTCGGTTGGCGAAGAAGGCCGACCCACCGGCGAAACCGGCAGAGCAGACGAAGCAGCTGGCGACTCCGGCATCACAGACCGGGCCGATGGCGAGCTCGGCATAGTGGGCCGTGGCGCGGCCGGTGTCGCGGGCCGATCCGCTGATGAAGGCGACGTGAGGACCCGAGCCGCGGGCGAAGACGGCGTGACGGGCCGAGCCGCAGGCGAAGACGGCGTGACGGGCCGAGCCGCGGGCGACTCGGCGGCCGCTGGCGAAACGGACCGAGCAGTGGAGATGCTCGGCGCGACGGGCTCGTCGGGTGACCATGCATGGGCACGCGAATCGATGCCATGCAACATAGGTCGATCGACGTGCCCACCAGAAGACGACGATGATGATGGTGAATCCTCCAAAAGCTCCAAACGAGCTCCACGTTCGGTTCCTACACCATGGTTAGGTAACAGCAAAGGAGAGTATGCAACATCATCAAATTGGTCAGAAGCAACAGAGGATGAATGCAGGGATGGTGGTTCGACAGTGGATCAGGAAGGTTGGCAAAGGGAAAAACATGCTCATCAAACACGACGT